AAAAAAAAAGAATGTATATACAGATCATATACAAGAAGCACCTGAATCACAAGTCTCTAGGAGAAAAGAAAGACAGAGAAAGTTTGGCCAAACACAGCAAAGCTGCTGATGTATTGAACTGAAATGCAATTATATATTGAAGTAGTGGGCAAACTTGGCTGCAAGAGAAACGATGGTTTCATCCTCCAGCTCCGTTCCTGTTTCCTCTTTCGCCCACCGACACTTGTACATGTAGGCATGTGTTCCACGCCAGTGCTTCTCACATGCCATCTTTGTCTGTTTTTGTCTTATTCCAAGCTAACCATTTTCAAAGCCTGGGATGTTTACATTCCTAACTCTAGTGATAATTATTAACTATGTACGACTGATTCAGAGCTTAGCATGGCATTAAGTTAATATTTATAGTCATACTTTTCTTTAATTAAATTATAGTATCTTAAAACCAAATCATACACTATTCTTATTCACACATTTCTCCCAAGCTGTCCTTTGCCCTAGTACTTACTGAAGGGTAGAACTGTATCTCCTGGCATTGCCTTCAGAAAGTCAATGAATATGTGTCAGAGATTTATTGAAAAAAAAAATCACTTATAAAGTAACATAAAATGACATTAAAGCTCCTTCAGGATGTTTGACAACTAAGCCAAGCTCTGCTTTTATGTTTTCTAAGCAATCACTTAATCAAATTTTAAAGAGGAGAGGGGAGCATACCAAGGTCAGAAAGTGAAGCAAAGCCCTTGGGCTTAGCGATTCTGTAACTTACCTCCTGTAGACTGAGCTACGAATTCCACACAGCCAGAAGCATGTTATCTTAAGGACAGGGTCACATGCAATTTATTCATTCACACCTTGGACAATGTCCAACATTTAATGGTCAATAAATGATACTGTGAAATGTGAGAGAATTCTCAGTCTAGGATAATCTAATTCACTCTGGTGGCTTCCAAAGAATATGTGATTCAAAAGTCTCCAAATGTTGTTATCCAGCTCTGACTCTAAGAGGAAGAGACTGATTTGGGAATGGATGAACCAAGGAAGCCAATGCAAGATATAAATACTGTTACTATGAATTATACTCTTAGACCAGGACTGCCTGAAGCAAAGCTGACAGTGGACTGTTCTTGGATGCTTATGAAGAGATAGGGACACAATGGCCTGGATGTTCCGAGTTTATCCCACTGGCCATCAAGAAGTTGCCACAGAACCTCCTTTCTATTGGCATGATAGACAGCTGCCTGCTGCAAATCTCTTTGAAACATGGTGTTTCAAAGTAGACAATATATAAAGAATTTTTTATAAATCCAATGGGTACACAGTAGAGTATATGGTAAAATACAGGTGCACTCCTCTGTGCACAAAGCTACTCTCTCTAGAGACAAGCACAGATTCTAGATGTTATATTAACATGTGTATGTCTGTATGTATATGTGTGTAAATATGTATGTATGTACATATATATATTAACATTTCATATTTGGTATATGTATGTATGTTTATATATTTGTATTTGAGACATTAATTCCATGAAACAGGATATTATAATGAATCCTACTTTTTAATTTAACTTCTTATTCATAATTCTTTTCACTTTCAGTTTTATTATATTTAAAGCCTCCACTTCAGATACTTATGGTCAGTGTATAACATTTGTTTCTTGTGTGAATGAATGAATGTGTTTATAAACTGTTTATACTTTACCCTAAATCCTGGTAATCAATTGGCAAGCATTGGAGATGCCTTGTTTTGAAGTCAAGCTCTACCATGTATCACTTTTTCCTATAAATATGTTGTCCATGCTTCAAAGTTCATCTCTAAAAGTTCCTCTTGTCACAACCTGGAATCACCTCCCCCAGACATGACTTGCACTTAAATTCATGCTTCAGGGTCTGCTTTTGAGATCCAAAAAACAATGGGTTCAGAGGTCAACTTGCTCAGGCAGCTCATGGGAGGAGCCACTCTCAGAGGCACACAGAAGGTGAGTGGCTTGGGGCAGGCTGATGGGCACATTGGCCAAGTCAGAGCCTAGCCAGCACTGCTCATCCAAGTCTGGGACTCTTTCAAGGCAGGGCAGAACACCATCTTTAGCACCATGACCTGAGCACATGCCTGAAATTATGGCCTAAAGAAGAGCTTTAAGTGGCTGAATGTCTTCTTGTTTCCTCCAGATAGCAACTTCATCCTGGCCAATGCCCAAGTTGCAAAGGGGTTCCCCATAGTCTACTGTTCCGATGGCTTCTGTGAGCTGGCTGGGTTTGCACGAACTGAAGTCATGCAGAAGAGCTGCAGTTGCAAGTTTTTGTTTGGTGTGGAGACCAACGAGCAACTGATGCTTCAGATAGAAAAATCCTTGGAGGAGAAGATAGAGTTCAAAGGAGAAATTATGTTCTACAAGAAGAACGGTAAGTCGCCTTGCTTTGGCACATGCTGGAGAGGGTAAGGTGTCACCATTTTTCAGAACATTACCTGTTCTATGTCCATTCTGGCTGAACAGTAAAACTGTGTTTGGGAGAAAATTCACAGATGATGTGGATGATGGCACTGTTTTCATCACTAACGCTTCATAAATTAAATGTAATTTTATATGAAAATTAAAACTGTGTTATATCAGTATATGAGCATATACTGGTTAACATTAACATGTTAAATCAACATGTTAAAACAAACTCTACTATTTCTAATTTATAGTCATTTTAAAAGTGTACACATGCATAATAGTTTCCAATAAATAGCTTTTATCCAGGGATGATTTTCAAAGCTTCATACTTTTAAGAACTACATGTCAATCTTAGTCAATTGAAGCAGAGTTCCTAGGGTTTCCTGTCAGAAAATGAAGTTAATTTAAGGGACATCAGCATGTGCATTCTTTTAATCCTGTTCTCTCCACATAGAGCCTTTCTCACTACTGTCTGAAATTTTAAAGACAAAGCGGGACAGAATAGAGTCAGTTTGCTGGGACTAAAAACTACCAGTGAGGGGAAAAAACAGCCAAGTGTTTTCTCCTGGGTGCAGTTCTGTGAGTCTCTTCTCAAAGAAAGAGGACCTAGAGCTGGGCCTGGCATCTATGGTGCTAACATCCCATAAGAGAGTAGATGCTCATAGCTTACAGGCCCTGTGAAGACTCTGAAAGTTTACATATGGGAAGGATGCTAAGTGGAGGATTAGAAGAGGTTATCATTTCATCTTACTAACAGATGCTCATTAGCTTTAGCTGAGTGTGTAGGTATCAAATGGGAGAATAAATTTCTAGCCTTTTTTGTAATTGGAGAGACATACAACTATGATTTGGGACAATGACACATGAAAAATACTGACTTATAGAATTTCTATGGAAAAATCCCTTAAGATGAAATTTTTTCCCCCTGTAATTTCTCTTTTCTCTTTTCCCTGGTACTATGGACAGAATTATCTTGACAAGAAATCATGTAGTGAAGCCATAACTCCTAATGGGATTGTGTTTTAAGGCATTAAAGAGGCAATTAAGATTTAATGAGGCAATAAAGTGAGACCCTAATCTAATATGACTCCTGTTCTTATAACAGTGAAAAAGGCAGCAGGGATGTGGACTCAGTGGGGAATGACCATGTGAGGACACTCCAACTCAAAGATTCAGGACCTTGTCAGTGTTGACATCTGCAAGTAGTTCTTTGTTCTGGGAGGCTATCCATGCACTGTGGAGCATCAGCAGCACTGTGGCCTCCAGTCCTCAGTATTTAAGGGCACTGAAGTCAATGCTGGTGGAAAAAAAAAAACAGAAAATTCACCCACCTTTAGAAGACACTTGTCCTTGGAGGGCATTCCCTGATCATGTGGCTTTAGGACATACAGTCATCATGACCTTTTGGAGAGCACCCCTCTAGGACAAGATGCCCCAGTTCTTTGGCACTAGAACCATAGTTCAGACCATTGTGTTTTTTCAGTGACAATAGAGAATGCCTAAATAGCAAATATGATCAAATGAAAGGATTCTAGCTCTGTGTAATTATGCCACAGTGAGTGAAAAGAAGCCTGAGAGAAAAGAACATGGGTAAGTCACTGAGGCTGTAGACTGGCAGAGCACTGATAAAGCTGTCATCCCGTGGAACAAAGCAGGAAAGATATCCTTTGTGCAAAATACCCGCTGACTACAGACTCTTCCTTCCTCGGCATGGTGCCTTGTATAGGTCATTCCACATCCAGATAGAGCCTTTGTTTTTATGCTTCTTCAAAATTTCCACAATGCTTCTACTGAGAAAGACTTGGGCCAAGGAGCATAATGTAGGGGAAGAGGAGAGGGTGGAGGCTTTGGAGGTGGTATTGTCTAAAGTAGGAAGCACATTAAAGTGGCACTATCTAAAATATCTGGAAGAATTTCCTGAACCCATTTTCTTAAGTATGCCTATAGCCTTGGACACGTGAGTGGAAATCATTCATGGCTCCAGTTCTCTTTAAGCAATCACCCCAGGAAATTGTCTGACATTCTGAGCAACTAATTGATCAAGTTATAAGTAATTGGGATTGTCATCTACACTGTGCTGCATCAGAGGCCTTCATGTGAGCATCTGTTTCTGCATGCAGCTGGGACTCTAAAAGTATGTACATTAGTGACTGTCCCATTCCCAGAGCCTGGAGTCTTGAGGAACATTTGTCAGCTGGTAGTTCCTTAATGAATGCCCATGGGAAGAAATGGAAATTATTAGGGGAATTTATGGATACATGAAGATATATCTGCATTTCACATTTTTAAAAAAATGCTCATGACATAAAGGGTCTTTCTTTTCTTCCTCAAGGAGCACGTTCCCCTTAATAAGCTCTGGAAATGCCTCCTTCCGGGCAGCTGCTGGCCCATTGACTCTTGACTGATCAGCTGCCCCACTGGGCATTTATAACTGAGTTTTGTGGCTGGAGATGCTCCTCAGATGACCTCACTGTCCTCTGTCTTGTAGGCTCTATAAAGTTTGTATAGTCTTCCTTCTTCCTTCATGAGGACACTGGACAGAGTAGTCAGTGTTTATCCTCTGCTATCTTCTGCCCTTCCAGTGGTAAAGAAACTGATTTATGCACCCCACCCCTCACTCAAAAATAGTGAAGACTTTGAATAAACAGACTTGTTCATTCTTTCATGCTATGGCATTTTCAACAAAAATAGAGTGTGTCCTCCATCTTGGTACAATGTCAGCCTGGCTAGTAGCTTCCCTCCAGTCCCACTGGGACAAGGACAAAGGCGGCTTCAGTGTTCAGTCTTTCCAAGAAGCTGTCCAACCAGTGTAGCATGGTATAGGTGAGACCATCTCTGGCTCGTCCTCAAAATCCCTCAACCCAAGGACAGCAAGCTCAGACACGTTCAGCCTTAGATACTTCGCCCCATTCTAGCTGCTTTGTTATATTTCACAGGCAGTGATTGGTGCTTTCTATATATTACAGAAGGTCCTAATTGAAGCCACCCATCGAAGCCTCTACAGTGCATCAAAATGTATCTTCTCTCTAAAGAAGCTACCTTCCATAGATCCAATAACATCACTTGCCTTCCTGGGGAAAAGAAAAGCATGGTAGCCAGAAATATAAAACGTGTCTTAGGACAAAGATTTATGGAAGAAATGAAAGTTGTATATTGTAACTTTATCAAAATCTAACTTTCTAACTTTTTTATCTAACTAACTTTCTTAGTACGCAAATCTGTTCTGGATCCCGTTCCACTGAGTACTGAAAAAAAAAAAAAAAACCTGAGCCTTAAGGAGGATGAATTAATTGCTTTATAGTTCTTGAACTTACAAGTCCAAGAATCAGTTATCTAGAGTCTTGGGTCCTTCTGAGGACTGTGAGAAGGTGTCCGTTCTTCATGTCTCCCTGCTTCGGTGGTTCTGTGGCAATCTTTGGCATTGGTTGGCTGAAGGAAGCACCACCCTTATCTCTTTTCTCATCCTTGCACAGGGTTTACCTAGTCCGAGTACCTACAATCCAATTCCCCCTTTTAAATTTGTTATTATCTTAATTAAACTTATTTATTTGCTTATTTTTTTATCATATGTATGTTCATGAGCCATGCACACATGTGTAAATTCCATGACAACTTGTTGAAATCATTCTTTCTTTCTACCATGTGGGCCCTAGATATCTGGCTCTGGTTGAAAGATTGAGCCATCTCACTGGCCCAAGGATTGCCTTTTTATGAGGAAGGACCCTAGTCATTTTGTGTTATAGCCTAGTGTGAGAGCTTCCTTTAACTTGATTATCTTTCTAAAGATTCTATCTCCAAATATGGTTATCTAGTAGATACTGGGAAATGGACTTCGATACATACTTTTTTGGAGGGGAAGATATTAACCTAAAGTACCGGGTCAAATTCACATTAGGTTAGGAGTTAAGTCACCCACTTACGATAATAAATTAGTAAATAAAAAAAAAAACCCATTACATAGAAGCATTCACTCCAAAGTCCTCGCTCTTAAACGCCTGTGTTATGTGCTAAATTGGAGATGGTACCTCTTTCCAGGGTGCTTAACAAATTTCTGATGAATTTTTCAGTGTCTTAAATCATATTCAACAAGCCTCTCAGACCTTCCAGCAGTAAAATGTTGGTTTCTAATCACCTAGATGCACAAAGTGGTGGTTTCTCACTGAATTTCCAAGAATATAAACTATCCTCTATGAGACAAGACTGGACTTCATTTTGTTCAGATTGTCATCATTTTAGAATATCCACTGACTCACAGCACTACCACTATGCAGCATGCCCACTTGGGTGGAACATCACTGACTCACAGTACTACCACCATGCAGTGTGCCCACTTGGGTGGAACATCACTGACTTACAGTACTACTACTGATGCAGCGTGCCCACCTGGGTGGAACATCCCCTTACTCTCTGCACCTGCCACTATGCATGGTGGCAGGTACAGTGATATTGTTTATAATATTCTAAAACTAATGTATGTAGGTAGGCAAGCTTTATTGTTAGGGTAATTTTCTTACTCTCCCTTCTCTTCCTCTTCCCTCTCCTCCCCCTTTTCCTCCTCTTCCTCCCTTTCCTTCCCTTCCCTTCCTCCTCTTCTCCCTCTTCCTTCCTTCCCCCTTCCCTCTCCATCCACACATTTTGCTTCATTTCCTGGCTCTGTGTTTTGTTTCAACCTACTTTGTGTCTCTTTTCATGGCAGCACCATATTGGTTTGCATGCTCTGGTTTTTCAATATAGCATTAAACTAGATGGAGTGATGCCTGCAACATTCCAACTATATTGAGCCTTTGTTATTCATAATTACCTTAACAGTTTTAGCTCTTTCATGTTTCTATCTAATTTTTAGGATTGGCTTTCTCATCTCTTTGAAAAATGCCATTGGGATGTCTATAGTGATTGTATCAGACATATTGTATTTCAAGAAATGGGCACTTCAACAATGTTGATTCTCCAGAGTTATACACATGGGATGTGTTTTTGTTCATTTGTGTCCTCTTCAGTT